AAGGATTTGCTGAAAATAATAACTTAAATGGTAATCAAATAATAAGACAAAAAGTTACATTGGAAATAAATTTTAGGAGTTTCCACCCCTTACAACCATGGGGTAAACCAAATAAATTTCAGACTAAGTGTCTTTTTGATAGTACAAAACGTCAGGTTAATTTCAATATTGTAACTTTTTTAGTGCTTGTGAAAAAAATTGTTATACACATTTTATGTATCCCCTTTGAGGGGCTATTTCTTAACAAGGGATGCTACAATGAAATTTCTTTGTATGAAAGATGCTGTCTTTTTTTCGATGAGAAATCACCTCCTTAAGTGTTTTACACTTATTTAGTTACACCCTGTATATTAACGATATTAATTTTTTGTCACATCTGGCAGATTTGTGTTGGGAGAAATGTCTTTTTTCCTAGGTTTTTTTCAATCACTGTGAATGGCAGACATAGTGGAGAAAAGTTTCACCAAATTTATTTAGGACTTTCGTTGATCTACATTTCCATTACAACTTTGAGTTGACTTTTTTGTATTATAATAATAATGAGAATTGATGTAACAGTCTTGATATCTTTTTGCCCACATTGCGGGACGTATAGTAATGATAGTTTCACCCTCCCGAGGGGTCGTCACCTTGCCGTGGTCGGAGGGCTTGCGTATTGTGATGAAGTTACGGGCTATGTCGGCGGCAGCTTAGCTACTGGTAGGGTCTCCCAGGCCGAAGAGGCCGTAACAGAACAGTCAGACCAAGAAGGACCCAGGCTTAATCCAAGGTGTTATGCGACCCGTGCCAAAGGATGAATGGTACCTGAGCCTCATCAGGTATCACTAACGGAGCCTTTGAGATACCAGGCGACCTCCCAAAGTATCCAGCCTTACATCCATGCAGGGGGCACCATGGGTGTGGACAACCCTTTCCCCCATACTCGTGGGACTTGGATGGATACAACAAGAACTACCAGAATATCAGAGGAGGACTCTTCGAGGGACTTCTCGCAAAACCAGACTATCCTGGAGGTGCAATCCAGGAAAGTCATAGTCAAACGGAGGGAAACACCAGCCCCGCCGAAAGCATAACTGCAGGATTGACGGAAGTCGAACTGCAGAAAAAAAGGCCATCAGGGGCGCAAAGGCGGAAACTGATGAAAGCACGAAAAATATCTCCGGGAACATGGATTGAAAAACCATGTAACACAAATGACCGCAAAAAACGGAAAAAACAAAAGTAACTTCTGTGGAAAGGGCCAAAAAGAGACCTAGAGAGGATGTAAAAACTCCCCCACAGAAGATACTGAAAAAACCCAGAGCTTCCAGACAAACTGGGACCTATAGCGAGGCTGCTAGGGGACTGAGGGTGGCTGTCACCGACACCCTGAGGTCATCCTGAGTCAGGGTCAAGCAGACCTGATCCAGGAGGGACTTGTCCGCGAAATGGACAATACTCCCTCTGGTAGCCTAACCTGCAATTACCCATATACCCAGTAATGCTTCAAAAGGAACCGGAAGTACTTTTCAAAAAATTGTGTATAATTCTCAGGGCAAGCTTAGCACTGGGACACATACCAAAAAGTTGGAGACTGATCAGGGCCACCTTAATTAGTCTTATGTCATTTGCGGTGAAAACGCTAGAAAAACTACTTGACAGATATATTAGGGACGTAACACTGGCTATCAGACCATTACATCGAGACCAATATGCATACAGGTCAGGTATGTCAACAGAAACGGCTCTATGTCGGGTAACAGAAGAAGTAGAATATACCTACAAAAACAAGGAAGTACTTTTAGCTGCTTTCTTGGACATTGAGGGCGCATTTGATAGAATCAATCACCCAGGCGTCGAGGAGAAGAGGGATCGACAATACAAGCTGTAGGTGGGTAGACTGCATGCTTAGGGGAAGATTGGTATATACAACCATTATGGGGAAACAGTCATGGCACGGGTAGCAAGGAGCTGTTCACAGGGGGGTTCTATCTCTTCTGTTATGGAACCTTGTAATGGACGAGCTACTATGTCTCCTGGACCGTAATGGGTATAAAGCACTGGGCTATGCAGACGACTTAGTCATCCTAGTCCAGAGTAAATACAATAATATAGTGAAGGGATGCATGCAGCAGGCCCTGAACATCATAACAAGATGGACCGAAGAGGAAGGGCTTAACATAAGCCCATCCAAATCGACCATAGTAGCATTCACCAAGAGGACTAAAACGGAGAGTCTCGGACCTCTAAAATACAAGTGTCGGGGGAGGTTAAATATCTGGGAGTAATCCTAGACTTCAAACTGACCTGGAACCAACACTTGGACAGGATAAAGAGGAAAGCGGAGGTAGCACTGATGCTCGCCAGGCGCACCTATGGAAAAACATGGGGACTAAAACCAGACATCGTGTATATTGGCTATACACGATGGTGGTTAAACCCATGATAACATACGCATCTCTGGTTTGGTGGCCAAAGGTGAAGCAGGCGACCGCCATCAACAAACTAGGCAAGGTGCAAGTATTTGCATGTTTGGTAATGACGGGAGCAATGAGAACTACCCCAACAGCTGCATTGGGGACACTCCTGAATCTACCTCCTTTACAATTTGTGATAATGGGGGAGGCCAGGATGGGCCAATTCAGACTGGAAAACTCACCGAACTACAGAAGATCGGACCGAACAGAAATTTCGGAACAAGTGGAGAAGCACATATTGAATATGTGCACGGACCACATGACACCGAAGTACACCTTTAACACAAACTTCACGGCCAAAATCATAAGCAGTGAAGAGTGGAAGACCATTAGTCATCCCAAAAACATGTTTGGAAAAAACACCGGGTACCTATACAGATGGATCGAAGACCAAACATGGAACGGGAGCTGGAATATACCGAGCGGATAGAAATCTAAACTACAGCTATCCGCTAGTACTATACACATCCGTATTTCAGGCGGAAGTGTATGCTATCTTGCAGTGTGCAAGGCTTATTAAATTGAGACCTCAAAGAAATGAGCGGATCAATATTTTTACAGACAGCAAGAGCGCACTAGGGGCTATGACAAACCCGGAGGTGACATCAAAACTGCTCTGGGAATGCCATGAAGAACTGAATGAACTTGCAAACAGAAAAAAATTAACTTTGCACTGGGTGCCAGGGCATTCAGGAATCACAAGTAATGATAAAACTGATGAATGCGCTAGACGCGGATCATCATCTTCATATAGGTCCTGAACCAGCTCTGGGGGTATCAAAATCACTGGTATGAAACCAGATTAGGATATGGACCAATAAGAAGCACACAGAGTACTGGACTAAAGTACCTGGCAACAAACACAGTAGAACCTTCATTGGGGAACCGTCCGAGAAAAGAACCGAAGAACTACTTCAATATAGTAGGGATTGGCTCAGAATAATTACAGGATTACTAACCGGTCATTGTCCGCTCAGAGAACACCTGAATGAAATGGGGCTGTACAATGGAGACCTCAGCTGCAGATTATGAAACGAAGGGATAGAAACAGCTCTACACATCTTATGCGAATGTGAGGCACTGAATCACAGGAGGCAGGCAATATATGGACGTATGAAATTACGTCCAGAATAATATGACGAACATCCAACACGAAACCTCTACAAACTAGTACAGGAAACGAGACTGATGGAATGGGTGTCATGAGAAGATGGGAGAACAAACGCAATAAGCCCAAGAGGCTGCAGTGTTTACTGGAGACTTGGACTAAATGGACAAGTCAGACAGCTCCCAAGGTACAAAAAAAAATGATAGTTTCAACTTGATTCCGATTTGCTCGTAGTTTAATCAAGAAAAAGTGATAATCGACAAAATCATCAATAATTTACTAGAAGAATAATTAATATGACAGTGACCAAAATAAAGTCGCATTAATGATTAAAGATAAACAATGTATTTGTCTGTAGTTGAATTTCCTATACTTATGAATGGTAATTTATAGAGAAATATTTGAACATCTATCGGTGAAATAATGTACTGTTAAGTTTTTTGCTTTCATAAAATGAATATTCTTTCAATTGTAACCTTTTCATGATTTCTCAACAATATTTTCCTGATGAAGTGCTTAAATTTGAAATAAAGAACAGTTGCAAGAGGGCGCCAAAATGAAAAGTTACATAGTGAATGTTCACTTGGATGAATTTCTTATTATTTTTTAAAATAATATATCTCAGTACTATTTTCATCCAAATTCCAGGAGTGATGGTCACCAAGAAGCGGGGAAGAAGGAATGACAGCTGAGGTTATGATAGAAACATTACACCCTTGAATTAAAAATCGACCTGTTTTTGCATTTTTTTCTCAACAAATGTGCCTTGAAGATATTCGTCCTCTTTCGTTTTCGGCTCTGTATCGTCGGTGACTCAAATCGACCTTTTTCCAGAGATTTTCCAGAGATTAAAGCGGGTGAACCTATCACTGACACAAGTTATTGTGGCCTGTAAATGTCACCCCAAATTCCTTTTTTGTTGATTAGGACATCTCTAAGGTAGTTCTCTCTCTCTCTATCATGGATGGTCGTTGCTTCCTATCTTTAGGCGCATATGAGCAATGCTCCTCCTGTCGGTTGACAGGAGCTTCGTCGGGGAGCGCAGCGGTCTTGCACCCATTTTTTGTCGTTTTTTTTAACAAGAAAACAATTTGATTTTTTTGAAGCCGCCTTCTGCTTGGGAGACCTTTTGGATTTTTCCATATATACAGCCCCCTCTACGTGGTTATCCGAACCACCCCGGCCTGGATACCGGCGTGAATGAAGGGGGACATTTATTCATCACTTTTTTAGACACTCACATATTTCAATATTTAACACAACACGAAAAGGAGCCCCACGATAGCACATGGCATCTGCGTGCCTTCTTTGTGGACGGGCGTTATCAGCACGTCCGTCAACTACCACGGCCACCACGGAACTCCTTCTAAGGTAGTTCTTCTTGAGAACTTCTTTTTTCTTCTACCAAAAATTTGTTGATGAGATCACCTGGAAAAGTTGCTGTGTAATATAACTATCTGAAGAGTCTAATTAGTCAGTAACTGATTCATACATTTTTTTGTGATAAAATAGATAATTGAAAAAATGAAATTTGATACTTAGCTGAGGAAATATTGTACCTTCTCGTCTGCTATTGAGGTTGAAGATGAAAATATGAATTGAGTTCCCAGAAAACTACCTGTGGCTATGTGGTTTATGCAGACTATAGAATGATAGATTATCTGGTTATCTTATTTTTTCAAGTTTGTCAAATTGAATCTGAATATTTTCAATCAAGATGTTTTCGACGAAGAACTGTATGATTTGAACGCTTTGCGAAACTTCAGCTATTGTAAAGAAAGCTAATTATATCAATATACTTCAAATATCATATGCATAATTTATGAATGAGTTACTAACTAATTTAACTTTTGAAAGCTTTATATTATGCAGTAACTTTTGGGGAGAACTCTCTTATTACACTCAAGCAAATTCTCTGTTGATCAGGATTAATTCATATTGTGGAAAGTTAAAAATCTAAAAACCCTAAAATACTGAGAAGTATATAACTGAATTCAGTGAAACATAAGTTATTTGATGATGGTTACATATTTGTTCTTGAAAGATAGCAAAATATAGTTATTCCCTATAATCTATATTGTTTAACAGCGGAAAATGAATCAAAAGTCAGAGGTGTGTCTGACTCAACTCTAAAATGACTAATTAACTGGAGTGGAATAAAATATATAGGATCTTCCGTTGTTCCAAATTACAACTGCTTGAATAACAACAGAAATTGTGATAACAATAATAATAATGACAATATGTAAATCCGATCACTAATTAAGTAATTTCGTTACAGTTATATATTCTCACTATCAACACATTTCATTATTTTGAGATTTGTAGATCATTAATTTTGTCAATTTATTATTAGTACAGTGAAACTGAAAAGTTTTTGAATAATTGAATGATTATGAACAAATAAAAGAGAAATTTGCTTTTATATTGAGTTTTGAAATTATTCTGATTATATATCGCGTGTACAAATGAACTGTTTATTCTTTTGAAATAACGTACATATTATTCTGAAAGAGGTAACAATATCCAAAACAACACTAGAAATTAAACCAAACATAATCTAATGTCTAACCTAAAAACATGTGTAACTTCAGACTAAGTCTTTTAACAGATACTACTACAATGTGATACTTCAACTGAAAACACTTCCACTTCAACACGTGTCTAAGGTTTCTTTATTCTGAAATTAATAATAGTCATTTTTGTTCATCTTGTTGAATAGTAAACAAATTTTGATATTTAGATATTTGCAAAGGCGTTGTTGAAGAAATGGAAGTTTTTTTTATATCCGTCACAGAGAGTTCTATGAAAAGTATCGGAATATTTCATCCAAAAATAATATATTTGCCAAATTATTTGGGAAATGATGTATTTTGCTGAAAAATTGATAATAAAAACTGAACATATCTAAACACTCATTTGGCCTTTTTCATTTCAGGACCATGCTGAATAATTTCAGCAGCATTCAGCTGCTGAATGAACGAGAAACCTCTGCGAGACTAACCTCTGTAAGATTGATATTCCGAGATTTTATTTTGGAAATGTTTATTTTCTAGTAAATAAAATGAACAAAATACTGCAATACAAATTGCAGGAAATATTCGTCAAAAATTAGAAAAATCCCATTTTGAACATTTCCAAGATATCAACCAGTTATGTTCATCTCAACGATTTTCAAAAAAAAGGTCATAGGTATAATTTTTTCAAGCGAAATGAATAGTTTCAGAATTGATTGCCATGATTTATATAACCGACTTGACGGAAAAAGAATTGGAGTCAAATCTGGAGATATCGAAAAAATCTGTAGAACCTTTCTTGTTGTTTTTGGGAAATTAAATAAAATGCCTTATTGCAGATTCCAAGGCATTGCCATATTTCGGGAAATCTGTTTGAAATCGGTGTTTTCGTGATAACTAAAGCTCAATGATCTTTCGAAGATGAGTACATTGAAATTACTATTCGTTCTATGTTCGTTTGTGGTATTAAAATAATCGATTTTAAGACATTCATCCATGAAGGTCTTCAACTTCGAAATTGTTTTTTGAAAGTTTATTTTTATAGATACTTACAAACTGGATATGTATCAATTCTTTTCGACGGTTCCAGGAATTTATATAAATTCAGTATATCGGCAATAATATTTAGAAATAATTCAGAAAAAGAATTCAAGTATTCTTCATTTCCTACATTTTCTTCTGCTATTTCTATAATATTTTTGATTTCGCCGTCGATACGTTTGATTTGGGTCTGAACTGAGATATCCTCATTGTTAATGATTTTCTGGAGTTTTTTGATTACTTCCACAATTGTCTCATTATGTTCAAGTTCTTCGATGAGTTTATTGAAACTAAAATGAAGACGGAATAATGTATAGCGACAGTGATTGAAATTGTGAGAGAGTGAGAGTGGTGCAGAACTAGCCCCATAAGACTCAGGTATAATTCAAGAATAATAATTACACCTAGAAGTTAACTTCATGGCTGTCAGTTTTATCGCTGTCAATTGTTTTACCGATGTTGAGAAGAAGCGTTGTATTACTATAAAACTTTGTTTTGGTGGCCTAGCCATACATTTTCTCACTATTTTATCGGTTTCAAGGAAATTATCATTATAAAAAAATCTTCAGTTGACCACAAAATATTTATCACTCAGAACTCAAATAAATAATGTATCATCATATGGTTTAGTTTATTCCTGTGGAAAAAGAGGCAATAGGGCCCATAATAACGATAATTTACCTTCCGATGACAACCCTGACAATGACAACGGATACTTTGAGTTTACGCATGAGCTAAGGGATAGCCCCTTATGCATTCTCATTAGAGAAGTGAGTCCGCGCAAAAAGGATACATGGCGATAATACATGCTCTGTGGTATGAAACACATCTGGAGAAGGCCGCCTTTTACGCCCAAAACCTTGGTGATTACGTATCTTATCTTCGGCGGCAGAGGTATATAGCTCCTCCCAAGTCTGCTAACGGAGTGGTGAAAGGGACAGTTCTAGCACGGCTGGAGAGGAGGCTCGCATTATGTCAACAATACAGATAATTAAAATACACAGGGCATTCCACAGAATTAGGCCCTTGAAGCCACAAGAACAGGCTTTTTTGGATGTAGAGGTTCATAGTGTACTTACAGAAAAAGCTGACATCTGACAAATTAACACCGTCGTGTACAGCACCGTTCAATCGCTTTCCGAATCGGAAACACAAAATCCCGGCCTTACGTTTCGGAAGATTGATAGGTCCATACACGAGATCACGTTAACGACAACACATGTCTCGTATCCAATGTGTATGAGTTACAGTGCGGCCAACAGGCCTTTCACGCCCACAGTGCGAGGAATAGCCGCCAAATTACGACGTATTCATCACACTTTAAGCCAAGACGTGCTGCTGACCACTAGTGGGGCGAATGAGAAGTATCGCGAAAAACTTTAGGTTGAGCGAGAAACCTTCTAGCTTATTCCAAGAGCCTCCTCGTGTTGTGGATAATCCGCCGTCAGCTGATAAGGTGAAATCCTCTTGGAACGACATCTATGAATACCCGCAGTCACTCAGGAAACTGACGAGTTCATCATGGCTCACCAGGGTGGTGATCAATGATCACTCACCTGACGATCTCGCTCAGGAAAATGGTAAGGGCTGTCATTCTTGGCTCATTGTGCCCACTCAGGGTACATTATTTTCAGACCCAATGATCATCCAACTCCCGATATGGGGCCTGGACATTGTTAATTGATGACCTGCGAGGCGCAATTTCTAAGGAAAGAACGAACTGATACAAAGCCATCTTTGTTTCAGACAATGGGAGTTTACCAAATAGCATTGGCAACCACATTCAAATCAACTCACTATTTCTCATACAATTACATCTTATATTTATTGCACCCACTCCTTTTGTTTGACAGGAGGGGTTTGTTCCTTTGTTCATTGTCTAACTGCTTGAACTGCTTGCTACTTTTCGCATGTGTGTTAGTTTGGGTTAAAGAATGGTGAGCAAATTCAGCCTACTTCCTCGTAACATCACCGGAAATGAGAATAATAGGACTATTCATTACTCTAAACTCACAGTGCTACTAACGGGACCTTCGAAATGTCGGCGACATCCTTTCGTAGAAAGCTTTATCGTGGTAATGCAGGGCCCTTTCTTGAAGGACTGTCCTAGGTAGAGCCGAAAACCCTTTAGGACCCTAAAGTAATCAAAGAATCCGACTCTGAATTTACAGAGAAGATGGATGTTGACTCAACGACTTCAACTGTCCTTCCTGTAGCATCAAATGAAGAGGGAGAAATTCCTAATTCTCCAACTCCGTTGCACCAAATTCTTGAGCAGCAGAAATAAAACCTGCATCAAAAGAGGTAATGAACTCACATCGCTCTGGTCTGCAAACACTCATGACCAAACAATGATTTACCCAAACCAGAGGCGACAAAAGCATGTCTGAATCTAATCTGTTATCATTCATAACTGACTTATAGTTAATTTTCTTCATATGGAAATGTTTCTGTTATTATTGAGGTGGGAATCTTGCACCTTGAACATTCGACAACCTCTATATTGACCAATTGACTGGAATCTCTTCAAAATCCAATCACGGCTGCCGTATATAATATTCCAGTTGAAGGTCAACACCAGAACTGCACATTCCGGCTTGGGTAGCTACAAATTATCTGGGAGGATTAGGAGAGCATCTCTTGGTTGGTGGGTATAGTTGGTCACCCGTTATCATGAAAGGAAGACTCTCTGAAACACATCACAGGGAATTACTTTTCAAGTCACACATTTGTGTTGCTCTGACGAAGGTAGTCGCAGAATTACGGCTTTTCAGATCTTCACTAGATTGAAGAAAATGTACCATAGTCTGTCAACTTTGGAGTGAACTATCCTTCATAAGGAAATTTCAATGCCTGTTACCAGAGCACATTCTGCGCCTGCCCCGTGGGTCAGTTCCGTTTTTAAGCGTTTCGAAAAGTTTTGGCAGCTGAACACTTACCAAATAAGTAACCGTCCTTAAGAAGTTTAATTTCATTTGTTGAGTTTGAATAGTTGTAAGCCATAATGAACCCTCGCTGGTTGCAGTAGCAATAGACCCACTCACTTTGAAACATAATCCTACCATATTTCACTTGTTCACTGTCACTTTTAACCACGTCGTTTTCTGAGCTCCAAACTAACCTGCATTCCTAACTTATCTCAAAACTAATCTGATATATCTTCGAATGTTTATTATAGAATCCTGAAACGTTACCAACGATGCGATGTCTCGATACAGAAGTTGGATCGTAACGCTCAGAGGCGGAATATTGAGGGTAGAAAAGGCTAATGAAGGAAATTCCGTTGATCAATTTATCATACAAGTTAAACTTTGTGGTCATCTGATTAGATATCATTCAAAGAGTTACTGAAATTGATATTCGATAGAATTTACAAGCAGTGGTAATACAATCAAAATATCAACTACTGAATGATTGAAATGAGATGAATGGTTGTATACTTTTGAGTGATAATAACTTTTCAAAATATATGTTTTTATGTTTATTAGAAGGTTATTGATAATGTTTCGTAGTATATTTCATCAGTTCGGACTTCCATTGTCGAATATGATATAAATTGATTTGAAATATCTGAAAGAATCTATAAAAATTAAAAAGATTAGCTAAAAAATAATAATTATATTAATGAAAGATACAGAAATTACAATGAAATGAAATACAAGCAACAATTAAAAATTATCAACAAGAAATGAAATTGAAAATTTTAAGATTCCAAGCCAAGTTAATTCACGACGTTTCGATTGTTAGCATCCACAATCATCTTCGGGTGATGACTGGACTTATTCCTCCGAGATCTGACTATCTGACTAAAAACCATCATCTTTTATGAAGAGTTTAAGGCATTTTGTCGAACTACTAGGGGCAATCGAAGTCACAGAGCAGGATCAACTAATCAGTTTCGACGTGGAAAGCCTCTACCACTACACCAACGTTCCTGTCGAAGAAGCACTTCAAATCATGGGGACCTGAAAGATGGAACAAACATACCGATACAAGTGATCATGGAATTACTAGGATGTTGTGTACGAAACGACTATTTCCAAATGAAGGACGAACTCTTTACGCAAGATGAGGGACTGCCAATGGGATCGCCACTTTCACCGGTTATAGCCAACATATAGTTTGAAACTCTGGCCATTGAAGAAGCCCCGAGTCTGGTTGAGATACTGTTCGGTCTTAAGATCTTACTGTCGAGGTTATCATGTTTTTCAAGTGAATCTTAATTTTTTAGTATTTAGCCTAAAGTTGCCAGCTCTAAAATTTGTACAACAAAACAGATTGTTTTATGGCATTATTTTCATTTTATGTATTGTTAACTAATCTTGTTTAAGTTATTTAATTTTTCATTATTTATAATCGGGGTTTTCCAGTTGGTCTCAAATTTACGGGCCTTTCTAATCCACTTATGCTCATAAAATCCAATATTCCCAAATACCTTAAATACTCAATACTCAACCCAAATTCTCAAGCAACCCGTACATTTTCAATTATTTCTTGTATTCCTTATCTTGGGAGTTACCCGCTATTATCTTTGTTTCTTTGTTTATCCCTCCAAAGACCAATCTGACCCCTTCTCTAAAATACCTACCGCTGTGAAACATTGCATTTTGTGTAAAATTCAATTTATTAAGTTTCAAACCTTGTAACAGTACAGTTAGAATTAAATCTTGTCTTGTCTACAGTACATCTAGCTAGTTATTTTCTCATCCTATCTTTTCACAAGAGTTACTGTAATTCTTGTGTGCATTGAGCATTGAGCATTGTGGGTCAAAACAGATACATAATATGGAACCATGGGAATACAGAACTAGACACCTTCCTGAAGCACATCAACAACTTAAGTCCTTCCATCACTTTCACAATGGAGAAGTACATAACGAATTGACATTCTTAAAGGTATTGGTGAAGATGACGGACACTAAATGGGAAACATTTGTATACCGAAAACCCAATCACACGGCACAGTATCTGAACCAGGAATCCTACCACCATCAATCGACTAGGAGAGGAATCATCAAGACTCTAGTAGATCGTGCATTCGGGCTGTGTAGAACAATGGAAGGTCTCGAGAAGGATCTAGGCATCATCAAAAATGACCTTCAGCGGAATGGTAACTCCAAAGTGATGGTGGAACAGACTTTGGCTAAAAAACAGCAAGAGCCTCACAAGGAAGAGAAACCGCTACAACCAGTACTTGTACTTCCCTACATCAGAGGATTGTCCGAAAGGATAGGAAGAATTGGGTCCAAGTATAACATCAGAACCTGCTTAAGATCTGGGAACACTATGCGTAACAGCCCCACGAAAACCAGGCCGCCAAAGGCTGACCACGATTACAAGAATTGCATTTACCGGATACCCTGCGAGTGCGGAGAAACATACATCGGTGAAACTAAGAGCCCATTGAAAGTTCGCATTGCCGAGCACAAAAAAACACACAGCGAGGAGAAATTAGGAATAGCAGAGAATCTTTGGACTAATCAACATAACATCAAGCGGTCTTAAGCTGAAATCATCCACAAGGAGGTTTAGGAGAAAATTTAAAGAAGCCGCATATATGTTGTCTAACAATGCATTTAGCCAAGCTAGCGTAGAGATACGCATTATATGGAAACCTATAATCAAGCGGAACACGATAACTCCCGCCAAACGGTTAGCTCCTGATGAAGCGGAGAGAGGGGAGAGGGGATAGGTGGAAGCACTCGAATGACCTATAAATAGTCAGATCTCGGAGAAATAAGTCCAGTCATTACCCGAAGACGATTGTGGATACTAATAATCGAAACATCGTGAAGTAACTTGGCTTGGAATCTTTCAATTTTCATCTCTTGTTAATAATTTTTAATTTTCATTCCTTGTTAATAGTTAAATTTCTTATTGTTGCTTGTATTTCGTTTTATTGCAGTTTTTTTTTCTAATATAATTTTTATTTTTCAGCTAATATTTTTAATATGTATAGATTATTTCAGGAATAAGTCGATTAACTTGATTGTGATTGGTTTCAATTGTAATTGGATTACTCAATTTGATTTGATACTTACCTTGATACGATTTCAGTGTGAACGTTTGATAGTTGTGAATAGTATTTTCCGTATTTAACTTTCTCTTCATCGATACATTTTTGCATAGCAGTTTCTGCAGAATGCTCTAGTTTGTTTAGATTTTTTTGTAGCGAATCTAACTCCTCAATATTGAAATTACCTCCTTCGGAAAATAACCTGAAAGAGATTTCATATAATATTAAAATCATGCAACTCTCAGTAATATTCTCAATGAAGTACTTTTTCATTCATATTCTCTTATGAACTGGAGTAGGATGGTGAATGCGCTTGAAACATTGTAAATCTATTACAACTAAAACCACATTTGCTATTCAGACCTGTAAATAATACATTTTCAAACAAAGCTGTTTTGTTTCAAATGATTATAAACGAACCTGGTCTGCGTGAAAGTGATGAGAAAAACTTTGATTTCATGCATTTTTTCCATTTATTGAATTATTTCAAATATAGGTTAATTTTTGCCACCAGCTGTGTATATATTTCCTTCGATGTTTGAACCTTTTGAAATGAAATGAAAATCAGCTTGAATATTGGACTGAGAAGAGAAATACTATTTTTCTTGTTTATTCTTTTTATTCTAATAGAATCAAATTGAGAAATTTCGAGAGGTTGAGAGGTCAAATAAATCAATAGATGCTTCTAGTCGACACAAAATTTTTTCAAATAAAAATTTAAGTGATATAAATAATTTGAATATTGTAATTTCAACGATTGTAATTTCAACGGCGATATTGCAAAAAGTATAGTATAACAATGATAGAACGCAAGCCTGTGATATATTTTTGGCAAATGATATGATACTACTCAAAAATGTGATTTTATAGTCCTGAAGTAATAAATAAATTTCAGCCTTACACCGTCAGTTGTAGATGATGCATATGAAAACCTTGGTGAAGTAAAAACAATAAGTTCTTTTATGGTTTTTATTGATCTAGATACTCTATATGCAAAATAAATTCATGCATTGCTTTTATGAAATCAGTTTCTTTTCACATCAAAACAGTCATTTATGTTTTTATGCCGTATCTCATCAGTTCAGGAAATATCCGACCAAAACATCAGTGTGCTTTGGTTGTGGAATTGGCCGCGGTGGTAGTGCGCACGACTCACGATCGGAAGGCCGTGGGTTCGATTCCCGCCTCGACCAGATATTTTTCTAGAGAGAATTTATCTGTTTGAAGCTGGGATGATTCTGCAACCGTGTTATGAATCACACGTTAAAAGGTAAGACCTCGTTAGTCCTTAGCTCGCACAAGTTTCTCAACTTCTGAGAGTTGTCGTTTTTCAACCGTCAACGCGGCTCGACTGTTAACTAGTAACAGCTCCATTTCATGAACAAAGGCCAAAGAATAGCTAGAAAATATCCCATCTACCGAAGTTCTAACAGAAATCAAGATAAGATGCGACCCAAACAGCAGTTTGCCTGGGACTTTCCTGCACTGATGAAAGGCAATGCTTCGAATTCGTCTGTAGTTGATCTACTTTGACTTCTCTCAATTTTTTTCTTTTCGTTTTCAATGAATATTCAATTAAAAAAATCTGACGTAGGGTGGCGGATATAAATGCATAAATTGACCGTCCAGATTTGAAATATCAAATTTCAAAAATTTTTGTGAAAATTCTTACTCTACCTCTCCAATTCAAACCTTCACAGAATGATTCACAACAAAACTGAAAAATATTACAAATTACCGATTTAACCGGAAGTGGTCCAAATTTGAAACTATTTCAACGAAATTGCTACCAACATATTACATAAATAGTTTTTGTATTCAATCCAGAAGTATTCCTCATTTTCAAATTCTTTAAGTACGTCTTTTACAGAATCAGGTGTCAAGAGTTTCATTTCGGGTCATTACAATAATTCTAATTTATCCCTGAGAATTGTCATTTTAGAAATCATCAGCATAATTTTCAATACAAAAGAATAATATCTCTTCGATAAGTTTGTTGGGGGTTAAAATAGACACCAATATGTCTTGGCACAATCATGTCGCTGGAATTGGAAAAGTCGTTTCTCAAAAGCTTGGAACACTGTTCCGAACCACTCTTTTATTTGCAGAACTGCGCTCGAGTGGAATAAACTTCCTGAGAACGTTTTTCCAAGTGGATTAAATCTCCAGCGAATCAAATCCAATGTGAATCACTACTTTCGCACAGGCACCGCTCTTGGAGCGCCTTAAGGATTTTCCTGTAGTGTTTGTGTTTTGTCCTTGAGAAAAAATTTGGAATACGGTTTTTCAATTGGAGCTTTTTCTTACAATTTTTTTTTTGAAATTATAGTACTTACCTAAATCATTTGAGCCGTTTTTGAGAAATTCGTTGTTTTTCGTTTTATTGGTCCTAAATAATAGTTTTTCTCAAATATATTATATGTATGGGCAGTGATCACTTAAACATTTATTATATGTATGGATTGCTTGATCCAGTTAGTCCAAACGTTTTTTATTTATTAATGAACCACATGAATCATATAATTTTATTTATATCACTTGCTAGGGTGTATTTTACCGAATGATAATTTTAAAATACTAGCAGTAGAGGGATGCAATGAAACACCACTAACAAGTTACCCAGCTAGGTCAGTGGTCGTAGGTTCGATTATTAATAAAAAAAAAATGGTTGTTCTCTCTCGCGCCACCTAATTTTGGCCAAAAAAAAGGAAACTGCCTTGATAACTAAGGAACCCCCTACTGCATTATATCAGTAAAATTTCAATTATAAATAATCTCAAATATGTCTTTATACAAATATCTGGAAAAAAGATTCAACTTCAGCACTGGGGGAAATATCGGATGGTAAAGAAATATTCAACATTAGTTTAAACAAACATGTATATTTGTATGGAAAAGCACAATACTAAAGGTACAGAATACCCCGACAGAATCTTAAATTAATTGTGGTTGAACTCCCACAATATGGGCTGAAAAACTATTAGTATCAGAACTACTGATGCAAAGCAAATAATATTGACAGTTGTGAATGTAGGGGATGCTGATTTGTGACGTCACTTCAGAGTACCCAAATAATGATAATAATCTTACTGAATAATAATCAACATATAAATGAATATCCCAGAAACATTTGAATAAATATCTAAAGAAATATCTTAACTCTTTGAACACCCTCCTTCCGGGGTATTAGGGTTGCTACGATGGCTGCAGTCAGCTCCGAAAGAGTCTAGGACGGTCTTCAGTCTGTTGTAATGGCTGAGAGCTGCTCTCGCTTAAGAGACTAACACAACGGTGGTGTCTTATTAGGAATAGTTGACCATATAGAGGCACAAGAGTGGAAGAATCCAATGAAGAGAACTGATGAGGAAAACGAAACCCAAGCTGGCGGTTCTACAGGCCTTCACAGTCGATGGCTCAGCCGGAGTCAAACACCCTCTCAGTTGAGGGTGTTTCCACTAACAGATGGTAATTGATTTGGTCCCATTGTAGAAAGAATCCAACAACAAACTGGTTTCAACGGAAGTGGGCGGTGGAGATGGTCCAAACATATGAATAATCAGGCCTTAAAATGAATACGATTCATGTAGGTACACCTCCATCTGATAGAACATAAACTCTTACCGGTGCTTTATGAATCCGGCGAATTGCCGAAGGGATTTCTGCGCCTCGACAAAAATATAGGTTTCAGACAACCACTAAACAACGCCAGAAATCGCCGAGTCCGAAAATCTCGAAATCCCAGAATGGATGCAAAAATTGCTGCAAGATAATTCGGATCACGCACCACCTTATTCATCAAACTCCACAATCAAGAGAAAAGACAATTGACAAAATAGTCATTTCAGAACAGATCGGTGACAGTGATGACAGGTCGATTAAAATACCAGAGGTGACACTCTACTTCCGCGTTCAGCGAAATAGTCGGCCTTGAATAAAGGTAATTCCGAACGGAATACCTACGGTATTTCTATGGCCAAAATCCACCACATCTCAGCAAGAAAATAGCCAGAGCTTCGAATATGAATCGCACAGGGATAAAGATCTCAACTATAAACAACGCTCAGTGGCGTACCCGATATATTTTCCTTTTAATATTGACATGGAGCTAGTGCAAAATTCGCCCGTAACACACTGATTCACTTCTGTAATTTCACTTTGCTCTTTGTTTCACTTTCTCGATAGACTGATTGAATTCACTTCCACTTCTTTTATTTCACAACAGATTGAAACTACCACACAACACATAAATACACGTTCGTGGAATAGCAAGATGGTAAAGGGACAATAAAAGATTTTCTATCACATCTAAACTCTCCCAACCCAAAAATCCAATTCACAATGGAACGAGAAACCCAAAGGACTCTAGTCTTCTTGGATATTCTTGTCACCAGATGCGAAGATGATACATTGGACCACATAGTGTACAGAAAAGACCATAAACCCAAATCACCGGCCACAACAAAAGAAATGGTAATCATAAGGTTGATTGAGAGAGCACGACGTATCTGTGAGCCTGACAGTCTTCCTAAGAAACTCAATAAGCTAAAAAATCCTTTAAAGGAAATGTTTACAGTGAAGGAGAATTCGAGCGGGGAGGAGAACACTAACGTAACCCCAGCTAGGCTGGTCAAGGAAAAGCTTTTCTTCCCTATGTTAACAATGTTACAGATCGAATTGGAAGAATTTTAAAGTCGTGAAACCAATATTTAGGTCAACAAAAACTATTAGGCGAAGTCTAAGGTTAACTAAGAACCCCAGAGAACCTTTAGCAACACCCGGGGTATACCGGATTCCTTGTAGCTGCTGGTCGATCTAGGTTGGAACCACGAAAAAAAGTGTCTCTGAACACAAGAGAAATTGTCGACTCGGGCAAACCGACATTACCTCATTCGAAGATATACAAGAGGCAATATAAATTAAAAAAACACAGAGATAATTTCAATAGAAAAGAAGAGGCAATGAACATTAATGAAATCTGGCTACCTGTCCTTGAAAGAAAACAACAAGCTCAGGTAATCCAATCAAAAGAAACCAAGCCACGCCCAATAATGATAATATAAAACCCGAGTCAAATACCAGCATCGCAGTTAATGCGTTCGCAACAACGGGAACAACAACTCGAGCACCAACTCGGGCACTACCACATCGTCTTTGATAATATCTACCGCAGTAGTAGACGAAACGTCTGACATAAAAATCTGCAGACTACGGCTAAAAAGCATGTTGGAAACATAATGATTGCTTCCAAAAGTTTCGACTGGAATAATGAGTGAAAAAGAAATTTGAACCAGTTCTTTACGGATATAGTTGGAGAATTGCGTTTACAAAGTTATTTTTCCAACCTTTCAGTATTTACGTTCTTGAACCAAAAAATAACTTACTTTGATGCTTTGATAAACTTGTAGTCAGATATCTTTAAACGTTCCAGAAAATTCAGACTATTCTCTCTATAATCTATTTCTATTTTCTGCAACATTTGTTCGTGATTCTTGAACATTGGATGGACGACTTGAAAGCGCCCGCGAATCAGGTGTGATTTTGATAAGTTCTTGATTTCATTCAATATTTCCACTTTTTTCAATGTGAACTGGTTACAGACATCTGCGAATTTTTGGTCATTCAAACTTTTGAGCTCCCGCAGACTTTGGATTTTTTCTTCAGCTGCCTACAATTGGAATATCATAATTTTCAAAAGAAAACTTTAGGTACTGAAAAGTAAAATAGTGTTAAAAATTTAAAAAAATAATAAACAAACCCTCAATAACGAGTATTTATAATAACGAATACTTTCGTCGAAGAAAATAACAAATACAGCGTCTGTCACATCGATCTTCTATTATAAGTTTGATGTGAAATCTATTGGGGGCTTAGTTAGCCTTTCAGATCCACGGCCGTTACCAGAAGGACGGCAGTGCTTTTTCTCTAGGATGTGCCTGGGCTGCCGGTACGATTATGTACCATTTGCTCGAGTAAGTGGTGGTGCAACTCACCATAGGTTTTGAATGTCAGGTGACCATCCCTGATTCTATTGTTATTATTTTTTTTAAATTGACTCTGTCGAACTCCATCCCCGAAGGCCCGATGATTCGGAAGGGCGCGCCAGCATCATCAACCAAATACAACTCCCCACATAATGAGGTGTGATCACTGGTTACGCGAATCATAAATCCTGAGTAGACGCAATGAGCCGAGAATGACAACCTTCTGCATTTATCCGGCCAAGATTTCTGCCTCACGTGGAGAGAGTTCTTCACTGAGATAACCTCTTGTGGGTGGTGTTGTTCCATTTCGAGGAAACTATACGTCCCTCTGGCATCCAGATGCTGAAGAATGTTCCGTTGTACGAGCTGTTTATCCTCTTCCAAGTCCCGGCATAATCTCTTCGTAATCCCTGCATCGTCTATTGTGAATTCCATAACGATAGCATGCGTGTACTCTGCCACCAGCCTCAAGGACTGATGGAGATATCCAGAAGCACGAAGTTCAATATCATCTATATATATAACAGTTGAGTGACCTTATGTCTCTGGTTTCCAGGGATTCCACAGCTGTACCCTCTATTATTTCAGAGCGTTACGGATATTAGCAACATTAAGATGCAGAAAAAAAGGGAACTGGAAGTGACCAGTTCTGTTTGGACTTCAGCTTAACCAGATGTTTTGCTGAAGAGAGTCCGCCAGAGTGGTATTAGTTGTTCAAGGCATCCCACTCGTTTGTCAGGTATCGAAGACATCTGAACATATGCAAGATAAGCTAATGCGATGTTGTAACAGATGTCTTGCGAGAATTGATTCAGGTCTTAGAGAGGGCCCGACCCTCAAAAAACCAGTCCGGAACCGGCTTCTCTCCGTCCTTGTCATATATGGATGGAGTTGGGCGCACGGTAGTTTTTTCCACCAGTGTTCAGCCCATCAGGACCTGGTGCAACAAAATTCTTTAGACCCACAAGAGCTCTTCGAATATCTTCCAGAGTTATCAGACTATGCTCATCTTCAAGTTTAGCCTGTATAAGCTCTCTACTGAAAGCAATCTCAATAGTTTCATTGATATCAAAATCAGTGGAGTACTCTTCAGATCATAAATGAAGCACTGGGATGTCTTCAAAATCAATGTTGTTAATATTAACTTGTTGTTCACCTGCTAATTTTGATGCCATTGCAACATTTATTACAGGTTGTGTACCATCTCAAATAATCAATAGAGGCAATTCACTGTTGCATTATCTGCCTTATTCACACTGATATTATCCAACATCTTAAACATTGCAGCTCGTTTTTCAACCATCTTACTGTTCTCTCGAATATTTTTGATACAAGCAATGGATTACTAAATAACATTTGAGATCACAACTCTACTTTAATATGATTTTAATTGTGATGGGAGTCCGATCCACTTCACTTTCATTATTGTGATTTGAGTGTTCGAGGAAGAGTAGCATACTATGTCAATGTGAAACATAACATACCCCATTATCCCACTATCTCTTTCCTTATTTTTTACATAATGAATATTATGTGAATCAGAGTTCATTATCATTCTTTCCACAATGTAGAGTGCTGATTCCCACTCGTTTCACTGATGGACTTCCTTGGCAAATCTGATGTTGATGCTGACAAAGATTACCACTACGAGTGGAAGATTTAGCACACGAATACATGTTATCTAATATGTTTTCACCAACTCACTTGATGTACACTGATATAACAAACGCTCGCCAACTCCTCAAATACAATCTGGGAGGCGTACTTAAGGGTGTCACAGGCAACACCACCACACTCCAATCTCTAGCAGAAGGATGTGGTCGTTGGAGCTTCGTGGAGTACAGACAAGTGCACTCTTTATCTCAAGAGGTAGCGTCTCACTAGCGCTACTTGCCGTGACAGGCAAACTAATCACCACTCCCAACTCGATGGGTTTAAATACCGATGTTCCTTGAAACTCTATAGAGTGCAGACTTGTCCAATGTCTATCTAGAGAGGTAGCGAATGATGTTGCACCGGCTCCACCAATGCATTGGAGTAGGTATTCGGCAGATAAACACACATCAGTAGACGAAATTTTGTGAAATGCACATGTCTCTCTCTCTCTCTACATACCCAGAGACGAACGTGAAGGATTTCTTTGCTGCTGCGCCCACTCACCAACTCGATGACCTAACTGGAGCGACTGCTCATTTGTTAGTGGATCTTTCTGGTACACAGACGATTGTGTACACTCCTGTGTACTCCCATAAACACACACACAATGTCAAGTCGGATAATGTTAATGCTAAGATCATGACGCGATCCACGCCAAACAAAAGTGTTAAGGGAAAATTTCTTCACGTATCCTTTCGAGGCAGTTTGCTAATCATCATCACGCCTTGACTCAAAGTGTAATGGATACACACAATGGATACATAATTTAGCGGCTATTCGACGCATGAAAGGCTTATTGGTCGCCGTGTAATCCATTACAGATTAGATATGAGAAATTAGGCCAACATTCCTTCCTACTTTTCATCATTATCTTCGGTCGGTTTATTGTTTTTCGAACTTTGTTTGTGGTCGGTTTATAATTGTTTACTAACATTTAGTCGGTCGGTAGCCATGCGGTTCGACGTGGCTGCTTTGTTCACTCAGTCAATCGGCCGATGTGTCTGTCGGTGGTTCAAGCCGCAGGCTAAACGGAAAAACATATTTTGAACATATATTTAAGCATACATATATTTACAACTATCATTTCAACAATTCTTTAAAAAAAAAAGGATGTTATGTCTCTCATACCATGGAAATACGGTAAACCTGTGGTATGGGACTTCACTTGAGTTGACACTATTGTGGCTTCCCATATAGCTAAAAGTTTGAAGTCTGCTGGGCAAAAAATTAAAACGAGTAAAATACCTAAAACTTGGTATGTAATAACTATCTGTTCCATCCATCAGCGGTTGAAACGTCTGGTGTTTATGGCCCGCAGTTTCTGTTATTCGTTCATGAATTCGGAAGTGGAATAGGCCAAGCAACGAAAGATTACCATTCTACTTCTTTTTTTGATAGACATAATTAGTTTTGCTATTTAACGTGGTAATGCTGCTTCGGTCCTTGGAACTATTTCTCCTGCACATAATTTTGTTCAGATCATGCATCGCCCTCATTCCAGTACGGAACTAAAGTCTCTTCAAAACAAGCCGAGACATGTTTATATTCATCAGTCTCCTTTCAAGGTTGATTCGCAAGTGATTTATCCTTTTCTTTTTCAGTGCGGTTAATAAACATAGGTCATTATTGTCCCCCAAATAGGAGCTGCAGTCCTCGTGGTTTTGGTTTCCTTTCATGGAGCAAGACCCGAATCAATCCTTCTACGAAACCCTCCATCACTTGGAAGGATCGATTGCAGCTTGAGAAATGGTTCTGATGCAGATTCTGTGGAATATGTTCTTCCTTAAGAATCAGTAGGCAGTTGTCCTCAAAATCTTGTGAAAAAAAACTTGGATTGAATAATTTAGGTAACACTTGCTATATGAATAGCATTTTACAAGTGTTGTTCATGACGAAGAATTTCAAGAACGAGGTTTTAACGATGAACGAGAATGAGAGTGTTTCCTAGTTATTCACCAAACTCAAACACCTGTTCATGCAGCTGCGGTTTGATGAGAATGTATCATCTTTCCCACCAACCAGTTTCCTAGAGTCTTTGAAGTCCACTAGATAGTGGATAGGACAACAAGACGATTGTTTGGAATTCTTGGGGTTTTTGTTGAATACTCTTCGTGAGCAGAAAAATTGCAGAATCAATACTCCTGACCGCTCTGGTTTGAATGATTCCGTACTGTCTACCTCGTCTTGTGTTTGTAGATTTTTTGTTGGAAAAATCCTCACTAGTTTACTTTGTAGTACATGTTCAACAGGTAGCAAAAACTTTAGTCACTTTCTAGAACTTCAAATAGCGTTTCCTAATATGATTGATAACCAGTCCGTGCAAAGCTTATTATTGAATCATCTGAAAATAGAACTTTTAGCGGATGATGATCAACTGTTTTGCCAAATATACGCCAAATTAACTGACTATTCTGAGACAACATGTATAGCGGATGCACTATTATAATCTTCATGCAGGCATTGTTCACTGTGGTTCTGGCTTTGGATCTGGCAATTATTACGCCTTGGTCAAACACGAAACGGACTGGTTTAAGTTTGACGATAGTCGTGTCACTAAATATTCTGGCAATATATTGAATTCTTTAGAGCCTCTAGAGACACCCTACATTTAATTCTATGAAAGAAAGGAAATTGGCACATCATCTCAGATGATGTGGTGCAGGTTTTTCCGGGTTTTCCTGCAGCTAAAAAAGCAAATATGCCACTGGAATCAATCGAGTCGCCTCGGAGCGCCAATTAATTTTTGTTGTTTTATAATTTCATAATTTGTATAATTTTTTTATATATTTATATAATTAAAAACTCGAATATTCTTCTGTGATTTCTAAGATATGTTGAAAGCTTACTAATTTGTGGCTTGAAATTCTCTTCGAATGCTTCCTCAACTCCATGAGTCTTTTTTCGTAAATCGTGTATTTCGTAGTTTGATATCTGGGCTTATGAAAGGCGATCTTTACTTTCAGACGTTCATTGATTTTTTCAGCTTGCTTTTCCATCCATTGATCTGTCACGACTAATATTTCCGTTCTGCAAGTCGAAAGATACTGGTTGATTGCTTCCCAGAGTCTGAAATATGAAAAATACTGTGAGAAGACATCATTGAAGTAAAATATTCGGTTTGTCTAAAAGAAACAGTTTCTTCAAAATGAGCATGTTCTTTATTCATTCATGCTCAGCATAACGTCAGTTATGCTTGTGAAGCTATTGTATAGCGAAAAACCTGTCGCGGTTTTTGTAAAACCTTTTATAGTGAAAATCATACTATAAACTGTATTCATTACTTTTCTAATACAGATTTTCATCAAGTATCAGCCAGTTCTACTCAATTATCAATTTATATATTCAGTTCCGTTTATTTTATTTCTTCAATCATTAGAATACAACTTTTAATAAAATGTTTGTAACACCGTCTTTAATGTACATTCAGCTTCCAGTTTAGCCTGATAAAAATATATATTGGTAATTATTCATGATGATGTAAAATATGAAGCATATGCTGCACTCAGAATTCTATACAACCAATTTGATGAAAAAACAAATAAGTTATGTTATTAAACAGTTTTAGAAATACTGACCCAAACATCCAGTTCTTAACTGCATCAACCTGATATGTACAATATAATATCTGCCTCGGTACTAGATTCTCATTTGGATCAATTTTTACTTCAACGGTTTGACTGGCTCTTTTTCTTTGCTTTTTTGGATCCCTCTCGGCATCGGGAGGATGTAGAACAAGAAATCGCTTTATTTCTGACATCAGTACTTCTATTTCTATGTCCATCATTGTTTTGTACTTTTGAAGTACTTGTGTCTCAGAGACGCAGTGTGAGTTGTATCTAGGAACATAAACTCCATATTCAAGATTTTCAAGATGAAGTTCTATGTGCACAATTGATAAGTCAATATAATTATAAAGACTGTATTGAGAAAAGATACATACATATAAGAAAATAAATATTTCGAAATGGAATTTCAAAACATTCATCGCTCCCAATGTACCTAAATAGTAGGGTCTGGTTAATATCTATAGGAAAACAACTACTTTCCCGGCTAATATCACGATGAACATTAAATTATATCCAACAGATATTCATGCAATATACCTCACAGAGGCAAGTCTTGCTTGAGTGAGTATTGTACATCAACAATTTTGATTGGAGAAAATAATAATGAAATGAATAATAATACTGAAATGAATCTTGAACATACCTATTCGTTTTTTTATATTGGGATTATGGGAAGAGTCCACGACGCTCTTCTAAATAATATTTTCATGTTCACTTTGACCAAGCATACTTTCACCACATTGGCAGAATTTTTCTTTTGTCTATTTTAAAATTTTGTATAAAAAGCATTGAAACTTCACTGTCACGTTAATAAGTGAAAAGTTACTACATTCTGAAAGCCAACTGAATCTTAAAGAAATTACTTCATCATTCAAGGATAAAGATGGGTATTTTCTAGAGTTCGAATATATGACGATGTTATATTGATTTCATGTACCTACCGCTAAAAGGTATAATTTAAAACTAGATGTGGAAGCAGATTTCAAACAAATATCTGACATAATGATTGGGCATAATGATTGACAAACATTTGAAATTGGATCATCAAATTAATTAATTCCTGAAAAAAATTTGGGATTCTTCTGCTGATATCTAAATATCTGAAATGTATTTGTTTACTATTGATATTCCTTCCAAAATACGTTTTATATATACAGTGCGGAAGTTAATAGTTCCCCACTCTTAACTTCTGAACTGTATACGATATCAATGTCGGACAAAAATTACGTAAAAATGTATCATTTTCAATGATGTTATTAATTTGCTGGTCGCCGAGAGGTTAGTTTAAGGTTAGGTTCAAAGTGAGTGGGTCTATTCGACCCTCCACCGCAACCCGCAAGTGTTTATTGTGGCTCACACCTATTCACACTCGACCAAATAAACCCTGCTTTTTAACGAAGCCAATAAGTTTATATGATGAGAGGTCTTTCAGGTCAGATGGTGAGAGTACGGCTCTGCCGAACTCTAAAAACCTGATTCGGTTCCCAGCAGGACAGGCACAAAGTATGTGCTCTGCTGTTTCATCATTTTCCAAACAGAGGCGACACACACTGTCTTCCGACAGTCTGAGTCTCTGCATATGATGATTCGAATGACAGTGACCTGTGAGTAGGCCTGTTAGATATCGTAGTTCATCCCTACTGTAGTCCAACAACTGTTTGGTAGCAAACTTCGAAGGGTGAATAAACGCCTTGGAGTGAGCCAATCCTGGAATATTCAGCCAGATGTCCATAAATTTTCTTGCCATCCAGGTGTCCAATCTTTGTTTGGCAAAGCCAAAAGCGATGCCAATGACAGGTTCTGGTCCGATGAAGCTGCTTGCCGTACCCTCTTTTGCAAGAGAGTCAGCAGCCTCATTGCCTTCCAAACCAGTATGGCCAGGAATCTAGATCAGATACAATCTGGTAAGTCTTACTATCGAGGAGTGTCGTTTTTAGCAATTTGCTACCAATTTAGACGTTGCTCGGTAGGAGCCAAGAGCTTCCAACGCCGCTTGACTGTCCGAGAATATTTTTATTGACTTGTGTATGAGGTTGGATTCTTCCAATCTCTACACACAAAATAAAATAGCGTAAATTTCCGCTTGTGAAACCTCGTTTAACAGGTTACCAGGGGTACTATTTACGTCTGTAGGTACTGTAGGTGTAACTGTATTTGTAGGAGTGTATCTATTTTCATAATTCGTCTTGGAACAAATTTCACTTTTCGAGGCTTTTGTTACTTTATCCAGGAGGATGATTTTTATTGTTTTTTTATATATTATGAAATGTTGTGAATGAACTTGTCTTATCATTTCACTCTCACAACTGAATTATATAATAAAAAATGCTTACAGTTTTTCCAAATTGTCTAATATGGTAATAGCTTCATCAAAATGATTCTCCAGTTTTTTCTCATTTGGACTTTGCCTGAGTTTCTCTAGTACGATATTTAGTTCAATTTCGAACATCTAAAAATTATTGAATCATTATATAAAATAAAATCATATTTTCAATATCCTCTATCCACACATTCATAATGGAAAATAACCAGTCTCGAACTTCACTGTTGTCGAGAGGCTTTCTAGCAAATGAAATGCAATTTCTCTATAATTTTCAATTTTGAATTTAGGTAAACGTAGATTTACACCTCAGCGGAACTATTGTTTTTGGCAACCGTTTTCGCAACGTCCTTCATCACAATTGATTGTAATTCCTTAACTCTTGCAAAGTGATTGTCCCAAAGTATCGCGGCACTCTTGAGGAATCGGTAAGTTTCATCGGAAGTGTCCTTCATTCCACTATAAATAGATAACTACTTTCTAATCATTCCCATATTGATTTCAATTTAAGAGCCACCGGTAGACAGCTGGTTCACCCTATTGGGCATCGTCAGTACCGGGCAGGCGGTCCTCTATTGAAGACAAAATTTGAAAAACCAGAGAAGTACTTGATAAAAATAAGTGCGCAAACGCAAGTTCGTTTACGCAGCAAGTGCGTTTATTTCATTGTAATTTCAGTTTTGCTTAATATAATTGTTTTTTTTTTCCAGCTAATCTTTTTAATTCTTTAACTTTTTTAATTTTTCACAGATTCTTTCAGGGATTTCAAATCAATTTATATCATATTAAACAATGGAAGTCCGAACTAATGAAATGCAATAATCTTTGTATCAATATCATTCATAATTTTCAAATGTCTCTTGAAAATTCGTAGCTACCCAAATTCTGTTCAGAAAATGAGTATCAAATTAACTGATGAAAATACTGTATCAAAAAGTGATAGATGATATTCAGGAGAAACATGATAAGCGATAATTTCTTTTTTTGAAGTAAGCCATGAAATACATGAACGTAAATGTCAAGTTCTTTGTCAAACACAAAATGAAACACTTGTTCAATTTGGAGAGCGATTTAAAGGGAAAAACATTAATTTTGTTAATGACGAAAAAGTGGATATGCTTTTTGTTTATTTGAGATGTTGGAGAAATCCTACCAATTTCTGGCAATGTATCAGGAATTGTATCCTGAACGACGACGACCTAATCATAGATATTTTCAATGTATTAAAAATAGTTTACGAAAGTATGGATTCTCTGAAAAACCCTTCAAAAAAAATGTACGGTTACTGAATGTGGTGGCAATAATGAAATCGGCGTTTTAGGTAAGTTCAAAAAAGATTCACAGGTACAGTGACATTAATGTAACCCTGATGGAGATTGTTCATAATTCGGCCATATCCAGTACGTCAGTATGGAAAATTTCAAATCCCTTTATCGAATCAGAAAAGTCCATCATTTGCGTTCGATGGACTTCAACAGGTGAACATTTTTTTGTAGATGGCTCATTAGAAAATTTCGTCAAAATAATAAAATTTGTGAAAAAAATTGTGGTGTGATGAAAGTAGATTTACCGATAACGGATGGTTCAACAGGAATATACATTATCACTGGCGACGAGAAACTGAATATTCGTATAGAGTTACCAATTTCCAAGAGAAATATGGTGTTAACGTTTGGCTTGGTGTTCTTGAAAATAAAATTATACACGCGTAATACATTTATTTCTGTCTTTCAAGGGTTGGAACGGTGTCACCTACTCTACTAACCATTTTAATTGAAAGGAGTCAATACAATAATTCATCTCAGAACAGGCAAACTCTAATTACATGTGTAGGTTCAGAACGCAATTTTTCAGAAAATGCTCATCAAAAAATAATAAGTCAGGGTACCTTTGGAAGCAGAATTGAACGCCAATCAAAATGATGTGCCATTTGACCCCCTTCTTATTTAAAATTCTAAGGATAACATTTACCCCTCCTATGGGGTTGAAGCACGAGGGTGGGAAGTTTTCAACTGTATCTGTATCTAGTACTTTACAATTAGTGGCGGCGCCAGAACTACGTTCAATGTAGGCAAGGTACATTTCGCGAGGTTCTCTGATGTTTCAAGACGAAGGGTTTATGAAATAGAAAAAACTTGAAATTAAACAATTTTTTATACATTAAAAAACAGTTACCGAAATTTTTACTCATTTACAATTCAGTAAACAACAAAATGAAAAATAAAAAATCCACTCAAAAGTAATGGAAAAACATCATGTCTAGGTGGCCGTATTGAAACCCAAATCAGTCACTGACACTGCGGCTACTCACTCACTTTACTTTTATTGAAGAAACAAAAATTTTATTTTTCTTTTTGCTGAACCAGATTCCCTATTTCCCCCTTTATCTCTATCTCTCTTAGTGCCAAAGCCTGACATGACTGATACATTATGAGTAATGCGCCAACTTTGTATCCGTAACCCGTAAAAAAGTTTCAATAACATTTGATGAAACTTGTTTCCTTCCTTAATATAATTAACTTATAAGAAGTGGACTAATTCGTTTCAATATTGATTGGATGAATATAATATGTAATAATAATACTTTGTATATTACCTACTTCAGTATTTCACTAGCGTAATGTTCAATATAATATAAATGTTTTTTAAAGAAAACTATAAAAATATGAATGTGAGTATAATAGATAACCAAATTTCTACTTAGCGTTTTAAAACTATGTAACACTATTATTTATTCTCACATCAAATTCTTTCAGAAATAATAATATAGGAACATGAAGCGAGACTGCGTCTGCATGCGATACTTGAGTGGGGATTCCCAGCGAAAGCAGCTTGACACCAAGTAATATTGCCAGATTAAATAAAAGCAAATTATAGGTAACGACAAAGATGGGATTTTTAAAATAAATCATTTTATAATATAACGTAGTTTATCAAAAAAAAAATATTTACGAATTTTTCATTCATATGCTTTCGTGCGCCGAAGACTGGAACTTCTTTGGGTTGAGGATTTTCTAATGAGAAAATCATGGGCTATACTTTTGGTGGGGGGGGACACACTGCCCCCGCCTTAAGCCGCCTCTGTTTACAACCCCATCAAATTGAATTATCATTTGTAGAAGTGGACTCTATGTCTAATTTATCGGCATGCCAGATTGTCAATCGAGTATATTCTGTACTGATTAGTTTGATTGCCCAGTGTTTTCTATTTCTATAAAATCTGACGATTCTTGGTCATCGTCTTTGAAAAAGTTATCAATATAACCATATAAAAATTCAAGGTAACGTCACAAAATTCGGACTTTCGCTAATCATGTTTTCTCCAAACACGAATTATTTAACGGCTCTGAATTACCTACTACTATATCACAATTTTACCTCTGAATTAAAGTACCGACCATTATTGTTTCACATTTAGAAAAACAATATATTTCTGTAGGTACTAAAAGCAAATACAGACAGATTTTGAAAAATATTTCATAAATTTCTGAATAATCATACAACAGTCGCATACAAACCGTCAATTTTTCGAAATCATTGTGGAACTGAATATTTATTTCATCGATAGCAGGAGTATAAATTTCACTCTGAAATTCTTCAATATCTTCTGGTTTTACAATACCAGTTTTGGTCATAGTTTCTTTCAGATCTTCCAGTTCGCCAAAAAACCTGTTGAATAGTATTATGATGATGGACTTGTAGAAATTGACGAGATTTTTTGCACTCTGATCTGGAAAATAAAGAATATTTCGAAAAAGTAGTTTTCTTATTGTTGAATGGTTTTTTATTAAGAACTTGGAATTCATTTTTCGATTTTAAATGAACACTATCTCTAAGATTATCCACAGGTAAAAATACAGATCTATTGCGTATTGAATTCAGTGATGAATTCTAATTTAAGAAATATATATTCATGATATTAGTGATATATATTTACAGTGGCGGATTAAGCATTTTGCCGCCCTAAGCCCCGTCTTATACGCCGCCCTTTTTGAACAACAAAATTCTATATATTTTGATTCACAATTGTTATTAAATAAAGGTTTTATTTTATTCAAATATAATTAATAAATAATACAGAACAAAAATTATTCACATAATGAATAATGATAATAAACATTTTTCTCAAATAATAATGTATTGCTCAATTTGTAAATCTCTTTTTTCTGGCATTTGTCCGAGCACAAGCATCAACTATGTCATCGTAGTCAATTTCTTGAACTAGTTGAGCTTCAATAGATAGTAATGCCAACACATTGAGTCTATCTTGGCCCATACTTGCGCTCGTAAATAAGATTTAACCCTTTTTAAGGTGGAAAAAGATCGTTCTCCGGAACAATTGGTAGCAGGAATACTCAATAAAATACGTAGAGCAATGTCGACATTCGGATAAACATCTCGAAGATTTCGAAAATGCAATACATTGTATATTTCTCGTGCAGAGCGTTAATCTTCCGTATTTTCTAGAGAATCTTTGAGCTGACATCATAAATGAATACATTCATTTCCTAATGTCTGTTCCAAATCATTAGGATACTTTTTAACTAATTTATTCCCAAGGTTTTTCAATTCAGTTGTATCTATGTCAGATAAATTATCAAAAAAATTAAAAACTCGCGTAAAGTTTCTGATAAGCACTTTGACGTCCGGCCAACTGTACGCTTAATGTATCTAATATTCGATAATACACATTGGTGCGAAAATTTTCGTGACCAGATAAAGGTACTGTTTCATTCACCCGTGACTTATCTGCCTGAATTTTCATAACGTATCATAACGATAATAAACTTGAACTCCAGACAGTGCTTTTGTTTTTTCTTCATATTCAGAGTATTGTTTGTCCCTCATATCTTGAAGAAATAACGCCAAAGAACCATAAATTTGTACTACAGATGATAAATCTGCATTAGATTCCTGAAGCTTCTTACTAGCATCATTAAAACGATCTAAAATAACATTCCAAACTATAACCAAAATTGCCGTTTCTAGATGCTGTAATTTTCGCTGCAGTCCTGTAGCTTCAGATTGCGTAGTCGGTTTTTCATCACGATTTTGTGCAATAAAGTTCAGTGCATTAATTATTCCAGGCCACTCTTTTTGTAACGCATAACATGCATCATGTCGAGTTTGAGAAAGACTCTTAAGTCTTAAACTTTTATGTTGCACTAAGATTTCCCAACGATGTGTTGATACCGTAAAAAATTATAAAGTTCTTGCAAAGTAGAAAAAAAGTCAACTGCTTCAGTGACGGATTCAGCTGCACAAGTTCCTACTAAATTTAAAGAATGGGCAGAACAAGGAACATATTCTGCTAATGGATTAATCGTTTTAATTCTTGACTGCACTCCTGAATATAAACCTGACATATTGCTTGCGTTATCGTAAGATTGACCACGATAGTTTTTTATATCCAAACCATTATTTTCAAGCGATTTCAATAGAATTAATTTTAATAGAATATCCTCTAAATGGCAATCCTTTTATTGCAAGGTTTTTAACAATCGCAATAACTCGATAAAAGATTTTTTCCAGTACAAAATTTCTTCGAATTGTTTTATTAGACGTTCATCAACACACCCTTGAACGACTGCTCGAGCTTTCAAATTCCTAACGTTAGTTTTGTGAAAATCAGAATTTTCATGGGCTTCAATTTGCACTTTTGAATTTTTTCAATCGCGAAAACCTTCTCCAGTGAAAGCGTTCATTTCACCACTTTTACCAAATAGTAAACATTGAACACAAAATACAGATCCTTTTGTTTGGGAATAAATTAACCATTCACGGCGTTGAATTTCTCCGTTTTTCAGTACGTTCAAATAAAATTTTAGTGCAAAACCTCGTTTTACCCTCATGAACATTTCTAAAATTTTTAAAATCCGTAGCTTCATTTTGTGGCACAGTGTTACGTGTTATGAAATCTCGTGTTTCTTCATTTAAATTCCATAGAAAAGTATCACTACTTAATTGCACCGTTAAATTTTTTTCGATAACTACTCATTGTTGATAGAAAAATTTATTCAGGACCTCAACAACTTATAAAAAAAAATGTCTCGCTTGCGTTTACCCAGTGTACTTTTCTTGGTTTTTCACATTTTGTCTTCAATCGAGGACCGCCTGCAGCACCTCCTGATAGCAGTCAAGCTACTGGGAAATAATTCCATGAAAATCAAAAGATAAATAAATAAGTACCATTCTGATCATTCCCATATTGATTTCAATCTAAGAGCCACCGGTAGACAGCTGTTTCAGCCTATTGGGCAACGTCAGTACCGGTCAGGCGGTCCTCGAACTTGGAATATGTTTTTTACAAATTCAATTTTTATGACTACAGAGTTTCCGAAGAAGAGCTAATGAAGTCACGAAAACTTCAACGGAAAAAGGTTTTTATTTTTGTCTTTGACTACAATACCTCCTCCAAAACTAATCAAAATAATTACCTAATGATGCTAATGTTTTTCGTACATCGTTAAGCCATCTTTCCACCTCTTCATGGCTGATTGGAATATCATTTTCACTATTCATATACCATTGCATTTCGGTATGCAACGATTTTATTTTCATTATTTCTTTCGTCAAATCTGTAGATATGTAGGCATTTGCATCTTGTTTCAGAGTACTCTGGATTCTCCTGAATATAAAAATTACTCTTTATTATTTGTTTACTACTTCAGTTACCTACCATTGATGACATCGAACAAAACCTTTCTTAAGAAGCGAGCTAAGATGGTGACACGTCAAAATAAAAAAAACAGCGAAAGAATGAAGTTCCGGAAAAACATCTACCTATATTATTCGAGTTATGGGTGGTTGAAAAAATGAAAATATAGCTAGCTGCTACGTATTTTTTAAAATTCTGCAAATTCTTGAGTTGAAACTGAAATTCATAAATATAATTGAAATAGTATAGTAGTATATTTCCTATTGAGAAAGGAAACGAAAGATTATTGTCTACTATTCTTTCATAGCCCATGTACTCGTGCAGGTCTATGCAATTCATTTCATTATTTTTGAGAAAAACTAAATGTCAAAAAACTCACACCACACTTTTTTTGGCAAGAATTTTCAGAAGACTTTTTAATTTTTCTTTAAATTCCAACAATTCTTCTGACCATGTCTTCATATCGTTCTTCACTTGAAGTTTCAATTGTTTTTGTAGTTCAGCGTAACTTTGATAATTACTGAGTGTAATTTGGTTAATATTCTGAAACATCGCATTT